TCTCGCTCTCTGTCGCTAACCATAGAGACCGGCGAAGTCTGGGCTCGTGTGCATCTTCAGAAAGACGACTGGATTAAGATCCTCCCTCTACTGTGACTCTCCATTGCTATTTGTGACAAAATGTTGAAGGGTTTGTTGCAACTCCGTGACTTTGTTCACCAAATCCTCCACCCTGCGTAGAGAATTGAGAATTACACCTGTTTTACCACCGTAAATAATCTTTTGTTCATTTTCATTAGAGCTGAATACCACACACGATAAATTTGTTTCATGTGCTTCACTGACTCAGTGATAGGTAACTGGAAAATTCACAAGACTGTACATTAGTTTAATGCGACTGACCGTTGACAGTTAGCTGAAAACAACAGAAAAATATTTTATAAAATTGTCATCATATAATGCGCGCTCTGATTGGCTATATTATATTTCGTTGAATTGGTTACACCGTGTGGTTACACTGTGATGCAAGGTTACAAGGAGGAAAAAAACTAGTTCTAACAAGATACTCTGAATCCCATTCCTGTTGTAAAGCCATAACATGAAATCCAAACCACACTTGCTGTCGTTCATTCCTGTCACCTTATCTTGCTGTTATCCTCACCTTTCATTGGTCTTCCTTATCCTCTCCTCGGTACCAGTCCTCTTTTGTTCCTCCACTTTCTGTCGATAGTTAGAAGCGCTCTCTATTTCAAAAAGTCTCAACAGTTCTAGGTCTTCTGCAGTGAACTTAGCTGAGGAGAGAAGTGACCCGAGATAAACTTAGTAAACGGTAAATAAAAGTGTTCCCAGTACAACGACTATTGCCTAACTGAAGGATCTGCCCCGTCAAAAAAGGCGACTTACTCCTAGTTTATTCTGGCGCGCAGCGAGAGATGTATGTCAAGTGAAAACGAACGCCGGTGCAAGCACAAGAACAAGAGATTAGTAGTTTCCAGTCCCTTTTTACAACGCGAGAAATAAGCTGGAAGGACTACCGTAATTGGCCAAACAAAAGACCTTCCCTATGGCTATATTTGCTGTATTCAGTTTTCACACAGCACAAGGCGAGCGCAAGTATTTGTAAGTACAAGGCCAAGGAAAAGAGAAATTATTGATCTGGTGCTTATGCTTGCGTCAAGTCCGTTTTCTTTTTTTTTTTTTCTCAGTTAAATTAGGGCTCTTGTGCTTGTGATGATGATGGCATTTGTGCTTTCTTCTGCTACTGAAAGCCAGGCACTGCTTCCTAGCCGTTATTTAGAACGTAACTCAAGTTTCCTTGGGAGAATGTGGTGCCATGACCCACATAACGACTGCGGAAGAGACATGCAACTGCTTGGATCATTTATCAGAAACCACTCTCGTTAACCTAGCCGACACTACACAAGAATTCGATTAGCAGTTCACTCGTAATCATAAGTGAACATTAAGTACAAATCAGTTCTGGGCCACTTACGAGTAACTTTATTGGGTTTCCAACACTTCTTTCGAAGCCATCGCACAAACTCGACCAGATGATAAATGATGGCGAAAGGCGGAGCGAGTGGCGGTTGTTTGTTGTACTCCATTACTAGATAGTAGTACTGGTATTTCCAGATCTGATAAGAGTTTACTTCAACCTCGTTAAACACGTTACTGCAATCCAACAAATGAGCCAAGTTGGTAATTAGTATCACCGCCCAGATCGAGTACAGTCAGTAATGAGCTCAGCTGATCAAACCATCTGTCTGTCTGTCAGTCTGTCATTCTGTCAGCTCGCCAAATAATGATTAAATGGTTTTTACCATACTTAAAGGGCCCTAGTCAGCCACACCTTTGTTTTTGTTTACATACAAGAGTTTGGCTATTATATTTTATTCGGAGCATGTCGAAACAAAGGACATCACTGTGAAACTACTAAAGATAATTCAGTAAACATTTTCTCGGGAACACAACTTACAGTAAAGCAGTAGGATTTCGATTCACCATGCAATATCAATAATTTTGATGGCATCGAAAATGGGGGGGCGGAGGCTGACCACAGTCCTTTAAGGAATGTCATGAGTCAAAATTGAAAAGGCACAGTACGATACCTGAAGATGGCGATCAGAAGATTGATAAGGAGTACATTAGTGATGAGTAAATAGCCACCCATAAATATTCGGTGAATCCATTTTAAAAGGTTTCCATCGTGTAGAGGAATTTCGCCTGTCGAGAGTTTACCCTCTTCCGCTGGGAACAAAATATAGGACAACACACTCGTCAGGTAAAATCAGACACTATCAAAACATCACACAAACAACCACGTACCTCGAGTCTTCGTTCCTTCCTGCGCGTGCTCGCTTGTCAAGGGGAACGAAGACGCTGGGTACGAGGGTGTCACACAAATGGCAAATCTTGACTGATACTTTGTGGTGCACCTGCGTACCCTATGCAGCAGTTTACACCTTAGACCCTGGTCAAACGCCGAAAATTGTAATTTGAGTCGATCCAAACGGGTAAAGCTCGACCGTTGGGTCAAACGTCGAACTTAATTCGAATTTAGATCGACCCACACGTTCTATCCATCTTCCGTTAAATTCAGTCAGACGAACTCAGTTGAGCCAAACGTCGAACTTATCGTGAACTTTTCGCTCTATTTAGTTAGTGTTATCTTAAGTTCGACGTTTGACCTGGGCTTTAGTTATTTACAGCCTTGACTCGTTAAGTTATTTCGCCAAGTCTATGCACTTTAGCATATGTCCTTTAAACCTCTCCCCTATAAAAAGAGTCAGAAGTAATCTAAGGACTATCCTGATGGAGACAACCTGACGTGATCACTTTCAGTGCAAATATACCTGATAAATAAGCAAGAAATTTCACACATGAACGTAAACCCAATAGGATTACTCACCTTCTTGCTCTACAAACAGTTCTCCATACACGTGCCAATATGGCTTGTAGAAGAGATCGTTGATCACACCCCAGTACGGCTCTTTGTTGGCGAAGAATAAGGCCTGTCGAAACACGCCGTAACTACACACGAACACCAGTAGCAGACAAAGCCACATCATTACATCTGCAAGCTAAGAAAAATGTTGAACATTAAAATGCTGCTTCAATGTTACAATGGATATAAACAAAATGGTTGGGTATAAGTACGGCTTAGAGCGGTTTTCAATCGAGTGTCGAAAAAAATCAGACAATCACTTTGGTTTTTGGTTTTGGTTTTAGTACGGTTTGAGATTGGTCGAGAAGCCTTGGGTGGTTTTCAACTGAGTGTCGTAAAACCAAAACCAAAGTAATCACTCTAGCCAATCACAAAGGACACAGACAATCCAGTGAACCAATCAGAACTCGAAGCAATTACATGTGGCTGACGTAAAGCGCGGGAAAACGTGTGCTAGCGAGTCAAGTTTGGTTTTGGTTTTAGTTCTGATTGCCTAAGAAACTGGCGCGAGTTCTTTAAGCAAATCCGGCGAGTATCGAAGTGATACAAAACCAGTTAATTTTCGACACTTAAGTGATAACCGCTCTACTTACCAATTATACTCCTCAGCCAGTCTCAAACCGTAGTAAAGCCACTACCGAAACCAAAGTAATTCCTGAAAACTGCTATTGCAGTCATGGCTCACGGGTTAGCCAAATATCGCCATGAAATAAATTGCCATACTTTACGACTATTTTACATTTTTATGCCAAATTTTGGGAGGTTAAAGCTCCTGTAATAAGTTTAAATTTTGAGTCCATACGAACTTACAACAGGCGCAAACAAACTCACTCACCATTCTTTTTATCATTATAATCTTTGGCCCTAAGTAGCCACTGACGAAATAAACTCTGAAAAGTCTGAAGGAGAAAATGACGAAATTGATACAGTACAGAACGCGAGCGGCCTCCCACGTGACCTCAAAAAACCGCAGGACAAAACCAATCAGGGCGATGGCGTTAGCGAAAGAGTCGACTATGTTGACAGAAGTGTGGAAATACAGCTCCAACTTGCTTTTCAAGGTAGTTGTCTCTTGGCAAATGACCTGCGAAAATAACAAGCGTTTTTTTTTTTTAACAATGAGATCTTCGCATAGAAAGATGACCAAAAAATGGACAGTCATCAAAATAGAAATATTCAACGGCCAAATATTTACAGCAAACTCCTGTTGATGAATGTGTTTTTGGACAGGTGTCTGTCAGAGAAATACTTCGTTACATCAGGGGCCAGTTTTCCATGCAATACAAATAAAAAACAGTAGGATCACTGTCTTTGAAGCCCCGTTTTCTTTTTTATCCTCGCCGTTCCTGGTCAATGAATGAAATCAATGTAACTGACTTCTTTAACTCTCAGTTCTCGATACTTCTTTAAAATACTCTTGAGTGTTTTAGTAACTTAATCCTTCTTGCCGAGCCTTAACCTTCAATGATGTCTTATCAAAATGTTCAATGGCGCTAGCAGATCATAGACCACATTCGTACTCTCGGTACCCTGGGTACAAGAGGTTTTTTCTCGCGCGCGGCGGACGGAAATACTTCGCTTCGCTTCGATGACCGACACCGGAAACCGCGCAAGAAAACCTCTGGCACCCAGGGTATATTCTCGGTATTGGACTGGAAATAACTTGCCACCGGGGCTAATGCGGGGAGTCCTTTCAAATGCAAATTACATTGAGCCTTCATTTCAAGCAAGGTCCACTCCATTACCGAGGATACGCATATGGCCTGCTCCCCACTCCTTCTTGACTCACTTGTCTGATTTCGTCCATTATGATGACACCTATCCAACACATCAGCAAGATTTCATAGACAGAGGGCCACGGTTTAAGGAACGAAAACAAAATTACAAAAGCGTACAACCCTAAAAAGCACAAGTGCATCCCCTGGAAAAAAAATAAAACAAACTGATATTCAAATATCTTCTTTAGCAGAATAACTACTGAAATCAAACGAATAGAAAGAAGACTAAACTGTTTTTTTAACTGAATAAATCTACCAAGCTAATTCGTCACCACACCCACTAGAGTTGGGGTCAAAAAGTCTCTCTTACTTACCAGATGAGCCCAGAACTTTGAGATTGGAGCATTGTAGAAAATCACGAGCTTTTTCCATAGAGGTACCGACCACTTGTGATTTTCTTCGTCGTAGAATACAATTTTGTGAATCATAAGAGGACAAATAAGCGCAAGTATTATCTAAAAAGGACAGAAGAAAATGTCACAACCAACCCATTGGCGATCAAAGCTATTTATTTTTCATTTTGAGGTCGAACACAAACGCTTAATTAATTCTTGGAAGTTTCAGCATTCATCAGAATCTATATACTCTGCCATACAGATGTGTAAAAATAAGTTTCTATTGCGAACAATTTCCATCCTCGCCCCCTTTAGTGGTCCTTAGTTCCTTAACAGATCTCTTTAGGTAGTGATATGATGTCTAGTGATGCGAACCGACCTCTCTAACAAAAGTGATATTCACAGCATACCTTCCAGTACGGGACTCCAGGCATACCACGTGACTTCCAAATGCTGTTCAAGCTTGACTGACAGCATGGATGCGCTAAAAACTTCTCACCATGCGCTGCAGCGGCCAGATTAAGGGCACACATTCCACCCCACTTGGGTATCTCCCTCTCAACTAACATCTCTGCTAACACCTCGTCCTCGTCATAACATTCATCAAGAACTCCAATGGCTAGGTTTTCAAATTCACTGAAGAGAAATACCAAAGGAAAAAAATTCAAAACAAACAATAGCAAAACAATAAAGAGCAACTATTACAAAGAGATATAAAGCGGTTTTCACTTGAGTGTCAAAAAGTAATTGGGTTTGCTTTGCTACGCTACACGATTGGCTCAAAATCTCGCGCCATTTCTTCATCAAATCAGAATTATAAACCCAAAACCAATCGTGACTCGCTCCCACGTTTCCCGGCGCTTTGCGTCAGCTACATGTATACAGATCGAGTTTTGATTGGTTAATTGGATTGTCTGTCTCCTCTGTGATTGGCCGGAGTGATTACTTTGGTTTTGATTTTACGACACTCAATTGAAAACAACTCTATCGATCAGAAATACAACTTTCTGTCCTTGTCCGAATTCTCCGTTTATACTTCACTAGTGATAATTAAATGGGATCTGCGCATAACGTCGCATCTCCAATCTTGATCCAATGGTAAAAATATAGGTATTAATTATTAGATACGTAATCGTAGTTAGGTCTCCCCAATTAGTATACATTGTATGCTAGCGACTTCGACACGTTAATAAAGTTCTTATCTTAACAATGTTTACCTTGGTCGAGACGAACAACAATATCATGATGCCACGTTCAAACTAAAAAAAATTCTTGTTGGATTAAACAGACGTTTAAATGAGTTGCGACATTTAAATTACTACATTTTAGTACATGATGTAGGACTCAACTTCGTTAGCAATTCTAACACCGAAAAGAAAGATATTCTCAAGATTTGGAGTCATTATTAGCAGTTCACTCTCGAATCACGTTTTCGCAAACTTCACATTGTTCACGTGACCAAGAGATTGCTGATGTCACGTGGCCCACATGTTGATCACGTGAACGACACTATTGATCACGTGATCTACATCTTGGACACATCTCTCACTCTACGTACACTGCATGTTGTTTTAATGCTGTCTTAATCTCAAAATAATCGTCTTCAACTTGATCATGCATGGCTTGAAACAATCTGCACGCCGCCAAGGCATCAGACACTGCCTCCTCTCCCTTCTCCCACATGAACCGCGCTAGTTCATAGCGGTTCATTAACACCGCCCACAGGAACAGTTCTCTGAAAGGCTTCTCAAACCGGGTCGCATTGTGCGCCACTTGCACACGACAATTCGCGTCCGAAGGCTGAAATTTCACTGATGGAAACTCTCCACTTTCGTGCTTGGCCAGATCAGGCGCTGCTCCAAACAGCCTTGCGACTCTAGCAGCAAGGGCGTTGGCGTGAGGTGTGTCAACCAGGTACAGCGGCTCATAATAGGCACCAATCAGTTCTTCGATGAGGACACCGATATCCTTTAAGGAATACGGCGAATCCTAGAACGGGAACAATCGCGTAAGTTCAATTGATTTTAGTAATTAAGCCTTTAATAGTTTGAAAGTGCAGCAGCTCTCGTGAGCTGGTAATCAACCGGTATTTGACGTCAAAGGCATTGTTTCTGTGGTTTGTTCTATTGTTCTCTCACAAGTTGTGAGACCTTGCAAAAACCGGTACAAGACCCTGTAAATTGGCAAAATTAATAGGCAAACTAAAGAGTTGTTATCGGCATGAAAATGACGTTAACTTACTCTTGTTTTTGATCGCTACTCGACAACAAAAACGACCGCTCCTGATCGCCCTAATATGACGACGAGTGCAGGAGGGGAGCAAAGCTAGTTGGATGATAAATCAAGAGAAGGCAACATGGGATGCAAGTATTCTACTGGCTATCTACAAACCGTTTTGACAGAGAAACTCAACCTTGAGCAATTTGGACAGGTTATGCGAATAATTGTAACATCGGATCAACTTAGGAAGGACGCCTTAACAGGGCAGAATCGCAAATAATTTAACTGTAAAAAACTTACAGAAACACCAGCAACGTTGGAAAGAAGAGAATAGAGATGACTTCCAGGGTCCGCCTGCAAAAAAGTATAGCGACAGTGATGGGCGTTAATGGACTCATCAACAACTTAAGCGGGAATATTCAATAATAGTGTGTCACCTGGCCGGTTGATTCATGGGGCAGCGTTTTGAGTTGACAAAACAAACTTGAAAATATACAGCTCTAACTCTAGCGTGGTTGGTTGATTCCATCGCAATGTTTGACTTGACAAAACAAACTTGAAAATATAAAGCTCAAACTCTAGCTATATACTCACCGAATTGTAAAGCTTTCTCAGTAGCGGTAACGTTAGGAAATCCCTCATACTGACTCCATTAGCAAGAAAGAGCCGCACAAAATCAACACGATCTAACTGTAGAGCTTCCAGCATGACTTCATCCAAGCTTCCACTCTGAAAAAAATAGGATTAAACTACTCAGTGAGAGGCTCTACAGCAAATACGTTGATATTCAAACGAAATTGGCCCAGCGTAGGTGAAAGGAAGAACACTCTACAACTTCAAAGCCCGAAAGCCCGTTCAAAGCATGAAAATGTTTTAAGGTCTTTTTTCCAGTATTGTTATGGCTACATTCGCATTTATCATCATGTCTACATTTAGTTGCTACTGTTGGACATCTATTACCACTCTACAACTTGTTAACAACTCGATAGGTATAAATCTAAATGCATATAACAAACTAGTGCAACATTTGCTTTACCCGGAGAAAGGACTAAAGTGGAAAGGGTGAACAAGCGCTCGGTAACGGGACATTGGCTAACAAGAGTATCTTCGCTCCCAAGGCCTGGTCAAGGTTGGTAGAGGAAACTGGCGTCTCCTCTACCAGCTATGCTAGCGGGGCTCGAAAAATACTTGAATTTCAGCTTGCTCTTGGCACAAGTAGCTCTCAAATCTTTCTTGCCCTGGGTAGGTCTTAGTTTGCTCTTGTAATGATTTAGTTGATGGACGACTTGCCTTATCCCTTGCCCACCGGGCAAGTGAGAATGAAAGGTTTCTTGCCCAAAAGGAAAGTTTCATTTTGGGCAAGAAACCTTTCATTGAATCTACTTGTCCCTGTCGACCGGAAAGCACATTTTTCGAGCCCTGCTATGGCCTGATGCTCAGGTTACGACATGGGCTACTAACACTCTCAAATGGGTTTTCACGCACACGCGTTTCCTCTTACCGGCCAATCACTATCTGGAGTGAATATCTTTTCTTCAGCCACGTCAACTCTGTTCCAAGTCAAAGCCAGTTTCAGTTGATCCATTTGACTACCTCCTTGTCTCAGAGAATCTATTCTACAGCCACAGTCGCTATCTACGGAGTCTACATTACAAGCACCTTGAGCTGTGAGAGGGAGAAATTGATTAAGGCCCCGACCATACTAATGCGTTTGACTATGAAAACGCAAACTTTTTGATGAAAACGGAGGCTTTCGAAAACGGTTTCAAAAGTGGTGTGTTTTGAAAATGTAAAAAAAAAAATGTAAACGCATCGTTTTGAGAACGCTCCGTTTCTAGCATGGACAGGTGAAAACGGAGGCATTTGAAAACGGTACCCCAAAAAAACCGTCATATACTGTCCGTCGTTTCCATCAGTGTTTTCGGTCGTTTTAGAGTAGACAATAGGCGAAACCGTATCAAAAAGTATACGTTTTCGAATGACAACAAATTCGTGTAGACAGGTCAAAAAAAAAAAATTGAAAACCCTGGTGTGGTCGACAATGTTTTGCTTCGTTTTGGTCGAGAGGAAAACAGATACCTTAAACCAGCTAAACCGATCTGCTGTGTTACAAATATGCATATTCAATGGTTATACTTTCAGGATTACCTTTCAACAATGCACTGAGAATGGCTAGGTCAAGGTCTAGGTTGTTTTTGTCGTCTATCCCGTACACAGTAATCTGGAAAGACAAAAATTAAAGATATTGTAAAACCTACACAAAGAATGCATATGGCAGTGCGATCACTCCAGCTAAGACCACCCGACAAAGTTCAGTGCAAACTGACGAATGAAAACCTGGAATGTTAACAACAGATTTCTAACAAACCATTGATCTCAGCAAGCTGCACTACACTGTCAAAGAGTTAAGTAAAATCACATCCTTTGCCGAGTTCTCCGTATTTTAAATGCCTGTTTACACTGCGATCACCTTACAAAATACATATTTTAATCGTTTCTCTTGCATGTTAAAAAGCAACGCCGTTACTAGTTCATAGAGGTTACCTACCAGACGCTCATCGTAAACACAGCAGTTCACAATATCTATAATTTTCTGGATGCGTTTCTTGTCTTTGGCGTACTTTGGAAAGAATTCCTCGATTTTTGCAATCAAACGAGGTAGTTGGTCCTCTTTGAGACGGCGAAAACCACTGTGAACAGAAACAGACAAGACAACTCTTCTATTTAACAGTTAGATTATAAGATGATTATTATCACGTGATAGTTAACAAGGGTACAGCCCGAGTCAACTATTACGCATAGAAATCGGGAGTGAACTTAACACTCGTCTGTACCATTGGATGCTGTATTAACTGTTCACAGCCTCTCATTTTCTCAACGATTTGAGAAAATAGAAACACTGTGAACAGTGCCGTATGAATACAAGCAATTAAACTTGCCTATGGCATTCACAGTTATGATGAGCAAAGGCTAAGATGTCTGCAGCTCTCCGAGTTCCTTCTACTACCACGGCAGGGATACCATACTTGACAGACTCTTTTACAGCCTTCAATGCATCTTCTCCTCCTTCAAGGACCACTGTTACCACAGGAACACCAAAACCAAACTCTACAACGAAGTAGTAATGGAAAATTTACCATTAAAGGTT